GCCATCACCCCTCGTCCTATCACCACATGCCCTTATAAAAAGTCCCTCCCCAGCTTTCCTGTAGGCCCTCTTTCGGTACTGCAAGGCCACTATAAGATCTCATAACAGCCTTCAAAGGAAAGAATTAGTGGGCTTGTGTTGCAGAAGAGGAGAGGGTTTCTTCTTTCTAGACGTGTAAACTGAGAAGTTAAGCACAGAAACAGAGCGTGCAGAGGGACTGTGAAATCTCTCTCAATGGCATTTTTTAAGAATAAACAGGAAAAGCTGGGGAGCAGATCCAGCTGCGGGGTGGGGATGGAGAAGGAGACCTCTTAAACGTCCACTGAACCTCAAGCTCACAGTAACAGTAGTTAGAAAATCAGTTTTCACTGGCAGCTGGTGCAGCAACAGCTTGCAGAAGGGAAGATGTTTACTCTCCCAAGACTGCATGAAATGTTTGGGTAGAAACTCTCTCTTGAGCACAAGGGAAAATATTCCAGTGTTCCTTTGGGAACACTGCCAAAGTACAGAGGATAAGGTCCTTGCAGATATTGCCACCAGCTGAAAGTGTGTGCAGCTGCCAGAGAGTCCATGTTGTTCCAGGACTAGCAGATAATCCCAAAATCACCAAAATCAGTTGTCAGCCGTGGAAGCAAGCAACAGGATATCCAGACAGAAAAAACCTCTTCCATTTAGCCCTGCAGCTAACTCTTGTTGAAACCTTTCTGCTCCACAGCCAAATATCCCGGACCCAACAGATGAGCTTATTTGGGAGCAGGATTTGCCAGGAGCACCCAACCAGCCAGCCCCAGCAGAGGGGCTGGATCTGAGGTTGCTCCAGGAGATGACTGCAGGAGAAGAGACCAACAGGGGCTGAATGTAGCAGGTAACGACTCCCTGGCCCATCCCCACTCACACCTTTCATGATGAAAGTCAAGTGGAGGTGCCAGCGTGGACAAACACTCGGAAGGGACAGGCAGGAACGCCTCTTTTCTTGGAGACAGTTTTGAAGTGACACCATTAACTCAGAGCTGATGGTGCTTTTTGATTTCTGTAGATCCAAAGCCCTGTGAGCTTGGTTGCCGCTGTGCCCTCTAGTGGAACTCTCCAGGTTTTGAAGGGGAAGCTTTTCCTCCTCTTGTCGGGTCATTTGTTCATATAATGTATGTGACATTTGGTTAGGTCATTCTGAAAAATAATTAACTGTTAGAAAAGAGGCAATGCTAGGATATTAAAAATTGGGAAGATCACTCATGACACTTGAACAGTGATTATTTGAATTTCAACAGAAATTTGCCCAACAATGCAAAAGATATTTCTAATAGAGTATTTCTGAAGAGTGCTGGCTCTTGTAGAAGAAGAAATACTAGAAATTAAATCAGTTATACACTAATCCTAGGGTTAATTAGAGACAAAGCCATCATTTGAAATGCTACAGAAAACACAAGCAGCTAAACAATCGCCAAAGGGCAAACAAATCCAAAACCCGTACACCTCTTGCAGTGCCTGCCTGTGCAGGCAGCTGGTATTTTGAATATATTTTTCTCCTTTAAATACCTTCTAATCTCATCTGCTGCGCACAAAGCTATCACTGGGGTTTTGCTAGAGGTAACTCTCAGTAACGAGAACAGCAGAGTGATACCTCGGGGAGACCTCAGGGTCCTTAGAGGAATGGGGCAACACAGATGGACCCTCAGTTCGAGGCCTTCGGAAGAACTCTCCCCGCTGTGGGAGCAGAGGTTCGCCCGCCCGCGGGAACAAGCCAAAACTAGGTCATTTCTAAAGGCAGCAGCAGCATATTATGCCTGTCCTGTCTAGACATGTCAAACAAGTAAGAGCTAACTGGAACTTTACCCGTTCCAGTCTGAGCTTACAAACCTGATGACGTGCGAGTGCAGGCTAATATAATGTCCACTCTCAAGGCGTGCTTTGGATGAGAATGGATCAGTATCGATACCCCCATATATAGCGTAGGGCTGCTGTTGTCAACCCCACACTCAACATTTCAAGGCACTGTGGCTTCGGCCTTTTGGGAGTCAGCCAGGAGTTCAGGAGCGCTGCTGGAGCGGCAGAATGGGACGGACTGAGGAAATGGCACAGTTATCCCATTACACCATAAGCTTCTGTACCATCCTACTGGATGTAGCTGGGCAGCAAAGAGAGTTTAGCATGCAAAAATGATATTCCTCACCACCCCCAATCAATTATCAATGATGCTGCTGAAGCAATGCTAAAGCAATTATTCTGTTAAATAAGTAGTTCCAACGTCCTGCACACCTGCGTTTAGGCAGGTTTTACAACAGTTTTCCGTAGAGACATCACTCAGAAGCCTTCAGCCCTGAAGCTGACACACCCGGCTACTACAACGGACATTTTTCCCTAAAGAGATTTGAACCTTTTGTTACAGTCAAAAATTACAGCAAGGTGAAATTTGGCACTTAACAGACAGAAAACAGTGATCCTGTTCTCACACAGAGGTAAGTTTGTTTGCAAATTCTGGCCTTTGTGGAAAGGGATGAACTTTTCCCCCCTAAGTCCGAGTCATCTGCTGTGGCTTAGTGGCAGAGACCAGATCAAGAATAATCCTTGTACTTCCTTTTTTCTAACAGCTAAGAACTTCTTCATCTAAAGGGCTCTGGTAGTGGGTTGTTTCATCATCAATTCCTGTTGGCAAATATAACTATACCTATGAATACATCTATACTTACATATTCTTTTCCTACTCAAAACCCACATCAAGAAAGCAACTGAGCAGCTCTCTAAAGTACTGGTTTTCACCCTGGTACGTGGAAAGCCTCCCAGGGTTTACGGACTGCTTTCCTTGAGCCCCTAGATTAAGCCAGAAAAGCTTCCCTGTTTTCAGACAGCTCACACTCCTTTTAAAATGGTGTGTGCCCAGTCGGAGAGTTTAAGGGGTTCACAAATCGATGTTAAAAAGAAACAAAACCTTGCTTTAAACTAAACACCAGGAAACTGTGTTACCATGAAACTCTGCACGCAAGAGTCCACAGTTGATTTTAAGCTAATCTTTTCTAGATCAGTAGCAACACATCACTAAGAATAGTTCAAGAACTACAGAAGTACTAAGAGTGAAGAGGAACAACTACGTGGGGACAAACAAAAGGTTCACCAAACCCAGCAACCACTGGTTGGTCGCTGAGGAACCTGCACAGGAAGAGAGGTAAACACACGGCAGGCCTTCCTCAGGACACATGTTCAAATAAGCTGAAGACAAATCAAACCAGGAATCTAGTCTAAAGAACGTGGACTAAGAAGGTAACACAAAAAAAAAAAACCAAAACAAAAGATGATTCACTTGGTTTATTTTGTACATCAGGTTTATAAATTACTCCCATTAGGACAAGATCTGCTGTGAAAGTGATCTGAAGAAGAGTATTAGGCAGGCTGGTCAGTGGAGTTAGATTTGTTCACAACCAAGCGGTTGCAACTGTTCATGGGAGAGAGAGAGGGACACCACGACCTGTTGCAGAATCTGTATGGGGCATTTCAAGGTCACCTCAAAGCAGGGTCTCAGCGGACGGATGGCTCCAAAACACTCTATCCAGCAATAAATTTCCTACAATAAACACAAAGCGGTCATTAAGCAGTGCTTCCTGCAAAGTACTACAGCAGCCAACGCTACAGACAGATTTCAAAAGCCTCCAGTACCCAGGCAAGAAGTTTCTGTTACAGAAGCCGATAGACGCACAGCAGAATGCAGGCATGTGGGACTAGAGTCTCTTTGGAAGGAATCACAGGCCACCAGAGAAACATCCTCTTTCTCTATTCCTGTGGAGGAATATGCTCTTTCCAGATAATTTATACACAATGACACACCAAAGCTCTGGCTTCAAAACAGAGAACACGTGCTGCGGTCTCAGGAATGTATCCACGTTCCTATTACCGGCTAAGATAGTTTTTAAGTAAAAAAAAGCCTTACTAGGTGATTTAATTGCTTCTACATGAATTGAGAGCTTTTCCACTGACTTGTCTGTAAACATCTACTGTCATTAGAGATGCTACAAGTGCAGCTGACTTTCAGGAAAAGTTTCTCTCACCCTTCAGTTACACCAAGGATCTGTGATATGTATTTTGAAAAGACACAGTAAATTGCTTAAACTGCAACAAGTATCTCTGGAAAAAGACACTTACAGAAGTACTAAGGATTTGATCTGTGACTTCCAGACTCATCGATTTCCCTATAAAATACTGTGTAGTTTCAAGGCAAGTATCTTACTTTCATTTAGCAACACTTAAATGTAACTGTTATTCTGACTGGAAGAAACAAATATTGAGTTGTATACAGTTTCCTCTGGACCTTTTCCCATCAGCATCCTTTAATGCAAGGCAAAAATCTCCCTAACTCCCTTCTACCTGAAGCAAAGAATAAAAGAAGTTCCAAGCCTGCCTACTACACAAATATGGATTTAGATGCCCAACAGAAGGTATCGTCTAATTGCTGCTCTAGCTCTGCGGATGGTCAGTCTTCTAGAAGATTCAGAACAGAATATTTCATATGCAATTAAAGAAAGAAAAAACCTCCAAACTTGAGAAAGCCAATTTTCCAATGAATCTGTGGTACACAGAAACCAGCCCTGAACATTTAACTTGCTTTTAATAACACTTACAAGGAACAGAAAGGAGTCTCGATTTGCCTAGCAACAAAACTAGGCATAAGCTTGAAGCTGTCTTACCTAGAAGTAAATAGATCTGTCAGAAGTTCCATATTACCACAGAACACTTGATTCGACTTCTCAAGAACTACACCACATTGTGAATAATCCACTGCTGGCAAAAAAAATCACTTGAAAAACACAGTAATATTTCAGCCTTCTGGCACTCTGTGAAGCCCCGTATTAAAAAAAAAAATAAATAAATCCCTGAACAATCAAAATGAGCAGTTCTGTTTTGGATCAATAATATGACTGTGCCCTGGACAAACAAGACACATCGTCACATCAATGCAACACTACTACTTAAGCTAAGAGATGCACAGACAAAACTTACCGTTAGAGGGAAGCTTAGTCTTCAGTTTTAAACTTGCCACCAATGTAGGGAACATACTGAAGGACCAACTTCCAGTCTGTGAACCATATTGCACCAGTACCAGCTACACCACCCCATGTAACGAGGGTGGGAGTCCTAAAGAAGAGACACACACACGTGCGCAAGTAAACAACATTAATTCTCCACTGTGGAAGGTCTGGCAAATGCTCATTGCTAAGGTACCTGACAAAGTAATTGCAACCAAGAAAAAACACTTGGCAGAAAATCTCAAAAGAACGTCATGTACACAGAAAATTATTAGTCCCAAGGGCGATGAAGATATTTTACAGGAAAGGGTTAATATGTGTTTATTTAAAAAGGGCATGACCAAGTTAAAAAAATACGAACTTATTTGTTTAGCTATTCTGCTGCTATAACTCCCCTTTACTCTGGCCCGCCGGCTACTTCATTCTCCCTTACGCAACCCTGCAAAGCAGCACCTGCTGGCACTGCGACAAACATTTATGGCTCTGAAACAATTTGAAGACAGCCAGGAGCAACCCGGAGACCAAATCCACCTCAGCCAAACCACCGCCAGGCAGACGGACGGACGGATAGACAGACAGACAGACAACCCCCCGCCCACTAAACCACCCCTCGCAGCCCTTCAAACCCGCGGGGCCGGGGGCCAGCGGACCTCACATGGAGTTCAGAGCGGTGGAATAAAGCGGAAAGGAACGGAAAGGGCTCGGGAAGCACTTCATGATCCTTAAGTACGCGGTGGGGGGCCGCGCGCCCAAGACCCACTGTGAAGTATCCCCGGGGTGGACTGGGCAACCCCGGGCCGGGTCTCACCAGTTTTGGAGGAGCTGGACGTAGCGCGGCCCCACCAGTTTGCTCAGCATCCCGCCGCCGCCGCCACCACCACCGTCGCCTTCAAAGTCACCCCCACTGTGCAGGCGTGGGTGCGCCGCTGCGCAAAAAAGGACCCCTGTCCCGGGCCGGCGCGGCACTGCGCATGCGTGTGGAACGGGGCTGCCCGTGGCGCTGCCTGAGTCAAACGGCGTTGTCATGGCAACAGCCCCAAGGTCGTCGTCACTCATGGCGCCGTGGCGCCAGGCCTGCTACAGGGCCGCGTTCCCGGCCCCGTCTGGAGAGGGGACAAGAGTCCTGAAGGGGTGGACTGTCTCCATGCTGGAGAGGGGACAGGAGTCCTGAAGGTGTGGATTGTCCCCACACTGGAGAGCGGACAGGAGCACTCAGGGGATGGACTGTCCCTATGTTGGAACGGGGACACGAGCACTGAATGATGGACTGTCCCCACGCTGGAGAGGGGACAGAAGCACTCAGGGAGTGGACTGTCCCCATGCTGGAGAGGGGACACAAGCACTGAATGATGGACTGTCCCCACGCTGGAGAGGGGACAGGAGCTCTGAGGGGGCAGGATTGTCCTCGCACTGAGCTGGGCCTCCGTGCTGGAGAAAAGTGGCCCCTTTCCTGAGCAGTTTTCCCAGTTTTCCCTCTGCAAACCCTCTTGTCACTGCCGCTCAGCCAGTCCCAACAGGAGAGGGAGTTTGAAGCCAGATTTTTTCAGCAGAGGGTTCTAAACCCGCCATCAATTCTGTAACATTCCCCAGGCTCCGCTCTGAGCCAGCTCGGCCTCATGTGAACCTGCAGAAACTCCTGGGGGACGCTGGAGCCTGAAATGCTGGGCTGCCCGAGACCTGCGGCTGGACTGGAAGAGCTTCAGGGCTGCAAATGCTTCACGTGCTCTTTCCTGCACAAACCTGCAGGAATGGTGTCCAGCAGCGACAACGGCAGCCATCATCTTCCCTCACACCCTTCGCTGGCTGCCGGCAGCCGAGATTCACAGAGTGGCACCTGCTGCAAAAATCCAGCTCCTGTTTTTTCTCACCAGGGCACAGAACAACTATTTTATCCACCCTTTGTGTGACTGACTGAACACCACCATACTTACTGACGGGTTGAGTGCTTCTCTGCCTGGATGCCAGCAGGGCGACGCGGGTCACTGAACCACACAGACTTTTGGGTTAATTTCTGCGAGCTGTTTCCCCGCTGCCCATGCGCCAGCTGGTGGCTGAGGAAGGCAGATGAGAACTTCATGGAGTGTGTTCCTGCAGGAAAACCAGTGCCTTTGCCACAACCACTGTGTTACCGAGTGTATGAAGGGGGAAACGAGCCCAGCAAACAGGCTCCGCACAGGTTTTGCTTTTTTAATGTGTGTTCAGCTCCATGGAGTCACGCACATGCAGGAGAGTCTCAGCTTTCGCTTTGCATTGAAAGTTTCCTAGATGCCCCCCCCCCCCAAAGATATTAATAAAAAGGCAAAATAACTTGAGACTCAAAAAACCAATGAAAAACAGCTCAATGTTTATCTTCAGAAAAGCCTTGGGGTTTCGAAGGCAGGTTGGGGGGGTGTATCCTACTGCTTTGCTCCAGTGAAGGCAGACAGGGAAAGATCCAGTAATATTACCAATTCCCTGGTTAAAACAATGCAATGGCAATATTAGCAGCTCATGCTTTCAATGTATTTTGCTGTCATCTACAGTTCAAGCACTGTGCAACACCACACTTGCTCCTTCCCTGCCGAAACTCCTTTCAGCTGTTGGGAGAATGTTCACACCCGCAACAGGGACAGCTGCACCTCCAAAGGCAGATGGCTGAAGGTGAGTGGCCACCGAAGGTGAGGGCCACTTTCTTCTCTTGGTGACCTTTGTGGCACAGGTGTCATTTTCGATTCTGAAGCAGAAAAGGAAGGGCAGTGAGCCTGGTTGGGAAAACAGCATTTTTAGAAGACACTTGTGTCTGAACATGTGGAAATATTTACTTTCTAGCCAGCTATGGTGTGTGGGTTTCAAGGTCTCAGTGGTTTCGAGCTCGCTGGGTGCGGGGATGAGGAGGAGCAAGACCCGGGCGCTTGACCCAAGCTGCCAACAGGGTTATTTCATACCAGGAATGGCACATTCAGTATCAGTTAGAAAGTTTCCCGAGGAGTTTCTCTCTCTCTCGTGATGGCTGCCAACCCGAGAACTCCTTGCCCCGGTGCCGCAGCCCTGAGCCCTTCCCTTCCTCGTGAAGCCGCAGCGCTCACCGTGTCGCACATTTGCTCTCACTGCTGGGAGTGCACAGCTTCTACGGATAGAATGGGCTGAGGATAATCCTCGTGTATTTTATGCTGGTGTCAGGATCAATACTGGTTCTTTAGTGTTATTAATGTTAATTACTTAGTCTTATCTTATTAAATTTATTTATATTTCAACCCTCATGTTTCCCTGTTTTTCCTCGATTCCCCCTCCTGTGTGGAGAGGGCTCATCAGGTGAGAGAATAATTGTATAAACAACAACAAATTGTTGTGGGTTTCTCAATCCATACCAAGGGCTCAGTGCTCCTGGATGCAGCTGCTGCAACTGTTTCCCCCCCAGGGTAGTTGCTAATGTGCCAAGTGAGCTGGTGGCAGAGAGCTAACGCAGGCACTGAAACCACAGGGGTTGAAGTGATGATGACCCGGGCCAGCAGGGCGAGGGAGGGGATTCTGCACTCTCATGAGACCCCACCTGTGAGTGCTGTGTCCACCTCTGGAGTCCTCAGCACAAGAAGGACACGGAGCTGTTGGAGCGGGGCCAGAGGAGGCCCCGGAGATGCTGGGAGGGCTGGAGCCCCTCTGCTGGGAGGACAGGCTGGGAGAGTTGGGGGGGTTCAGCCTGGAGAAGAGAAGGCGAAAAAGGGGAGACCTCAGAGCCCCTTCCAGTGCCTAAAGGGGCTCCAGGAGAGCTGGGGGGGGACTCTGGATCAGGGAGGGGAGCGATGGGATGAGGGGGAACAGTTTTACACTGAAAGAAAGGAGATTCAGATGAGATTTGAGGAAGAAATTCTCTCCTGTGCGGGTGGTGAGCCCCTGGGGCAGGTTGCCCCGAGAAGCTGTGGCTGCCCCATCCCTGGAGGTGTTCAAGGCCAGGTTGGACGGGGCTTGGAGCAACCTGGGCTGGGGGGAGGGGTCCCTGCCCAGGGCAGGGGGTGGCACTGGGTGAGCTTTAAGGTCTTTTTCAACCTAAACCAGTCTGTGATTCCATGATAAATACCTGCTGATCAGAGGGGCAACACACCGGGGACCAGCCCGGGGAAGCCTGGAGGATGAGGGCAGGGAGAGCCCGGCTGGGCAGCACAGCGGTGGGCTTGAAGATGCTGTGGCCAGGGCCGGGTCCTTGGCAGAGGGTGACAGAGAGAGATCCCACAGGATTCAGCATGGCCAGGGCATAGCCTCACCCCCTGGGTGAGGCTGCCTACCTCCAGCCCATTCTCACAGGGTTTAAGCCCTCCTAAACACTCTGCTGCGTTGTCTCCCCCATTACCAGTCCATGCTGGGCTCCTGGTATGGGCTCGGCGCATTTCACCTGATTTCTGACTTGCACCCTGCTGGTACCGCCCTCACGTGGTGCTCCACAGGGCAGGGAAGAGGCACGGAAGCAAGAGCCATGCTGCGACATCCCCTCCTTCCAGCCGGGCAGGGGCCGCATTCCCAACACAAACCTTTCCAGCAGTAAAAAATGAAGATGTCATCCCTGCCAGGTGTAACCTGGATTAAAACGCACGATGCGCCCCGAGACCAGCACCCCGGCGAGGTGACGCAGGACCCCACGGACCACAGCTGAGCCACAGGAGAAGCTGTGCTGCGACAGGGAGACCCCAGCGCCTACACGGCTGCCCAGGTGTGTCCGATGGCTGCTGGGGAAGGCGCCCCGATCCCATGGTGATGGGCAGCACTGGAAACCTTGCCCTCGCCATGCGTGAGTTCAGGCTGTGGATTCGGGTGGGCAGGACCCGTGCCCGGAGCACAGAACCAGAACGAGCGGACAGTGTCTGAAAACCTGCCTCGTCTTCTCTTTCTCTGTTTTTTTAGTACAAGGTAAAACCTTTATTACAACTTTTCATTCATAGGTATACAACATCTGAAAGACAGATATGGGGAAAAAAAAAGTAATATTGTTATAAAATGTCACATTTATTGCTACATTACTGTTATATACAGGACAGTTCTCAAAATCTACTTTAAAAAAGTTAGGATTATTTAAAAATTCCAAATAATCCAGCCAGCTGTTTTGACACTTGTATAAAATTATTTAAAAAAATGAAAACAATTCATATCTTGAGGCACTCAGAAACACAATTTTATCCCCCAATTGTGATTCCTTTCAAAGAACAACGCATTTCCCCCCCCCCAAATACTTTATTTTTTTTTTTTTTTTTGCGGGGTTAGGCATATATATATATATATTTACTATATATATAGTTCAAAACTATAATGTGTATCTGATTTAAGAACAAGGATTTCAGCCACTTAAGTACATCTGGATTTACAGGTAGGCAGCATAAACATCAAAAGCAAGGACCATTTTTTTAAAGGCCAAAAACGAAAACCAAAAACAACCCAAAACTTTCTACCGGGTTAAAAATAAACAACTTAACCCAGTAACGCTTCATTTCCCCAACGAGCTGGAGCCCTCCGGAGAAAATGGGTCATTTTCTGCAGACCGTGAGGTCCAAGCCTGTAGTTGGGGTCATCCCTGCTCCGCTTCACCGGGTCCCTCTTTCTCCTCTCCTGGGACATGAGCCACCGCTGGCGGGAGGGCACGCGCCTTCCCGTGGCTCCTTCCCTCCCCGAGAGGCCCCGTGTTACAAGGTTTGCTCAAAAGCTGGTGGGTTTCAAGTGATTTGGGAAGACGTGGCACCGGGAAGGGGGAACCGCGGTGTCCCCAGCTGGCTGCAGCAGGGAGCTCCATGGTTCCCTGGGGCACAGCCCAGGGATGCAGGGCACGGGGATGCTCTTCGGCAAAAGGCTTCGCTACCCGGGACATCCCATTTTGAAGCACAAAGCCCTCTGCTCTC